AATATAAAATATACAGTAGTTATAGTGCTTTCATTGCACCTAAGTAGACAATCTTCACCACTGTATGCAACACATAGACAGAGCCTCATCCCAATCTTTGCTTGTGGCCTTCAAATCACTAAAACCGTGGTGCTCACATCAGAAAACGGGTCCCATTTCTTTCCAGAAAAATGTCCTGGTTACAGTCAACTTACTATATTTTTGAGTCCTTTTGCCAGCCATTTGTTACAGTAGCTTCGGCTCTCTGCCATCTCATGCTGGGCTGGTAGCATACATCAGTTTGTGTGAACATGCCGCAGAAAGAGGCTGCTTACAGTTTCATATGGTGCAGGGTTAAGAAATTCATTTCTAAAATGATTTTGTTCAAGTTTATATTGAAGTGGGTTTGTTTGGTCTAAAAAAGAAGAGAGTTTAGAAGAGTTATTTTTATGCAAGCTGTTCACTGTTGTACTTGTAAGAATTGTAAGTGAGAAATCTTATCCTTAAGTCCAGTGTATGTAATGTAAAACCTTTGCTGATGATTGCTTCTCTGTCTCATCAGGCCATGGACGGGACTGCAGGATGCAGGCAGACTCTCTGGGAGATTTGTACCGGGCTCTGGAGCAGACCAGTCTGTCCACCTCAGATGACCACAGATCAGCCAGCCGCCTGGAGTACAAGCGCTCATTTGTCCGCCGGGTCAACGACCCCCTGCTCAATGACAAGCTTCACCGCCTCCGGATCCTCCATAGCTCACTTAAGGTACAACATGTTTTGAGCATTTATATCTCTTCATAAGTGTTGTTTATTGGTTAATTACTAATTGATATCTTCACCTCCTTACAGAATGTCCCTCTTCAGGACACAAATCGGTCATTGGGTTTTTTAGGGTAAGGATCTGTGTGTTGATTGAACCTCAAATGTATCGCGTCTGCCTGTGCCTCACACTGCCGGCATCCTTCTGCTGGAGATAAAAGGCACCTAAAACCTCCTTTTACCCGCTCAGCTCTACATCTCCTTTTTCTGTACCGCTACTTCAACCTCGCTCACCGTGCAGGAGCACAAAGACTTGGTGTCTCCACCCAATCTCTCTCTTTTAAAGATGAGGGCTGTTACAAAATGGCAAAAAAAAATTGTCTGGCTTGATAAAATGACTCGTAGACTCGCAGGTTTTATGACAGGGTTTAAGCACTTTGTGTCTGTGTCCAGGACTTGTAGGAGAGCTTTGTAACTCATCGCTCATACTGTATGCATGGCCACCTCCCCTCACATCTGTTGAATTGTTTTGAACATTATGCTGGAGTTGGAGTACAGCTGCTCAGTAAGATTCGACGGAGGAATTAAAAGCTATTTTGGATGTACACAACGTTTTGTTATGCATGTGTGTATGATTAAAGAGTATGTTTGTTCTATGAGTGTACAGGGTGTTAAGCATATATATATTTAATATTACATTACTACAACAATACAGTGACTACACAATGTTTTGGGGTACTTAATACAAACTGTAAATCAAGTGCTGTGCCTCAGTGATTGTGAATGTACATTGTACTTTTCCAAGAGAGACAAGGAAAGATATAGAAAGCAAGCTATTCCTCAAAACAGGGGCATAAGAATATAACGCTTGGCAATAATGAACTAGTATTGTAAATTACAAAGGAATGAACATAATAGTTGTCTATTTTTGTATGCATGCCGTCTACCTAATTGCTTGTAAAACAGTTTTGTATTTCTAAGTGCCCCCCCCCCCAACTCCCCCCTACCACAACATTGTGTTTATAAGACTTATTTTACAATTTGTCCCAGAAAATTGCAGTTGATTTTTTTTTTAATGTTTGCCACAAAAAGAGGAATAACTGTATTTATTAGGTGTTTAATGTACAAGCATGCTTTGTATAACTAAAACACATTACCATGCCATTGGAAATTGACTTGCATTACAAGTGTGCCACATTGTAGCTACAATACTTTTTTAAGGAATAAAGTATGGAATGGGCACACGTAAGAGCCATTGTTAAATGTTTTTTTCTCATAATCCCATTTTAGATGACGAGATTATTTTTAGACACAACAAAGGTTGACTCAGGGGATGATAATAATATGCAAACACAATGCACTCAGTGTATATGAAGCCTCAGGCATTCTTCTTCTGTGGGATATGGTAATTAGAATACAGAGGAGGATCAATGCAAGAAACTAGTGCCCTGTCTGCAGTGTAAGTATATACACAAATATCCAAAAGGGAACCTCAAATTGTTCACCTGTCAGGGTGATACAGGAATAAGTCTTTCCACCACTGCTGGTTTAAGATGCAGACGGGTGATGTGAAAACTGGTGAACTTGCTGCAGTCCTGTGAGGTAAGCTTCACTCCAGATACAAAAATAATGACTGTGTAACTGCACCCTGTTAGGCCCACACACATTATTAACACAAGTCACCTTCTCAGCCCAGGATTAATTTTTACATCACTGTATGATGCCCTCTAAGACATTTGCAGTTGTTTTCAAGACTAAAACCACACATGCAGCACACAAGTGCCTTTGAATGAGTACTTTTAAATGAGAAGGGAACTATTGTTCTGTGAATTCCTGCATGACAGCCAGTGATTCTGGTTACCACTAGTATTTGGGTGGGAAGATTCAGCGAGAGGACGGTGGCTACAGTAGCTTTATTGCCAAGTCATGCTCTTCATGTATACATAACGCATTTTTTTTTTTACACATGACAAAAAAATACTTGACTTACACAAAGCAAGAAGAAAAGGTTCTTTTAATTTTGCTGCTACATGTGTATCTTGATTATTACAAAGGTGTTAGGTGGCCTACAGTGTGTTTATTTTTCGGTGTAGCCAAAATTGTTTTGGTTGAATCTTTATCTTTATTTTATAAGGTGTACAATCTATACCTGCTCCTTTTGAAAAGTGTCCTAAGATAACTTCTGTTATTATTTGGCGCTACACAAATAAATACAGCACATAGAGCACATTGAATTAACCAATTACAGCCACAGTCTACCGCATTAATGACTTGTGATATATATTGTACATAATGGTACATTGTAAGGCCAGGCTTCTCCCACATTGACCTCAGTCGGCTTTTAGATTCATATTCTTGACCAGCTGTCCTGTATGAGCAAGAACTAATTAAAGAATTGTGCTAAAAGGGAAGATTTGGACCATCTTGAAAATGTAGTAGAAGAGGTGTCACAAATAAAACGACTACGAACTAATGTTCAGTCATATTAATGTATTTATAAGCAGCTAGGATTGGGCACATAAATATTTGTTTGTTATTGTGAGGATGATTATTATTTAAATTGTGAGTAACCGATTACATTAGTCACATAATCTTAATCTCTTTTCCCTTTGAGTAAATGTTTTCACATTTCACATACACAAATTCAAATGTTTGGTTCATATCAAGAAATCCTCATTAAATGCTTTTATAATTAATAACTTAATACTTATATTTTAAATAAAACAACAAGAGGAGGTAAAGAGAAAAATGCAATGATGGTAGGAAAATCTCAAATAGTGACTGGAATATTTATGCTTTATTAATTGTAGCATATGATACAAAAAAGAGCTTCACTTGCTCACTAGAATCTGCATGCTCAATTAAATTACATAAATTAAATGTCAGTCATAGCAAAAAACAACTTCTTTTACTCAAAGTGCATGCAGATTCTCAGTTCATCTTGGCAGTAAGACTGAAGAGGAAGGACAAAAAGAGTACACATAAAGCCTGACAGTCAATGAGGACAACATACACAAAACACTCCACTTCAAATGTAATATTTAAAACTATAAAATGTTAAATTGCCATTTCTAAAACAATTGCATCATCATTTTTGCATTAATTTACAACTGAAAACATTGGATGCACCAGTATAATTAAAACAAGCGGTGATCATAGTAGAGTTTGCCAGAACAGGCAGCACAAAGTGTGAAAGACATAGGGGTAAACATTGAAAAACCTATCTCAACAGCATTCCTGCATTATAATCTAGTGTCCAGGGAGGCACAGACAAAGTGTCGGAAACTCACTACATTGTATGCACAAAGCTGGAGCTTCTGCCTGCTAATGCTTCCACGTGGCATGACATGAATTCAACACTCCAGGTGTTTTTCTCAGTGCTGGCTGGTCTGGTTGTGTTATAGTAAATGAGAAAGCAAATGTAATTAAACAACATGGAGAGATGGGAGATTTTGTATGTCATGTGTTTCCAGAGGCATCAATCTTCACGGCACCGTGCACTTTTAATGTGCAGCAACAACGGCCCTCTTGGCTACATTATTGGTTACTTGCCTGCTTTTTCTCCTGAAAAGCCTGAACAGTTTTGCCCTTATGAGTTGAATACTCAAACCATAGATAGCTGGATTGAGAATGGGCGGGAATATTAAAAAGTATATAGATAAAAACAACTTGGTTTGATAAGACAGGTGACTAATATTTAATCGAGTTTGTGCAATTTCAATAAAGCACCCGATAGTGTAGATGATTACTGCCAGTAAGTGGGGGGTACAGGTTCGGAGAGCTTTGACCTTGGAGTTGCCCAGTGTAAATACACATATCCTCAGGATGTGTGCATATGAATAAAATATCATGATAAGCTGTGGAATTACATACAGGGCTACGGATAGTAGGCCCACTATGTTAACAATAGTTGTATCTGTACAGGCAAGTTTCACCAGTAAGTAATTAATACAGTACACGTTTTCTATGGTTCTCTCACAAAACCATAGCTGAACAGTGAAAATTAAAACAATGAGAAATGCCAGCATGGGGTAAAGCCACGTAAAAACAATAAGTTTAACAACTCTCTGTGACATGAGTACATGATAATACAGCGGATAACAAATGGCCACATACCTGTCATAACTCATCACTGCTAGAATTGTGAATTCAGTGATGGCATATGTGTGTATAGCATAGATCTGTGTCTGGCAAACCGGTAGAGATATCTCATATGAGTGTGACAGTAGGTTCCTTAGTACTGCTGGCAGCACAGAAGTGCTTCCAAACAGACCATTCACAGCCAAGTTACACAGCAACAAATACATTGGCTCATGCAGGCTTTTTTCACGATAGACCACACTGATTAATGCTACATTTTCAGCAACAGTTGTTATGTATATCATCAGAAACATGCAGAAATACATTGGCTTCAGGTCCTCCATTCCATAGTAAACAGACAGATGAAAAGATGTCACTTCAGATACATTTTTCATGCTGACACAAATAAATCTTAAAGCGTCTCAGTAATCCTGAATATATTGTATGTGTTGCACTTCACACCACTCCACAGATGCAATACGTTTTACCTTTCTGTGCAGTCTTCCTCCCCCCTACCTGCATTTACCTCAACAGCTTTTAATACTCTTTAAATTTCCTACCCTGTGAAATGAAGTCATGTGGTCTTACCGACATGCCAATGATTTGACAGTATTTACATAGATCCTGTGATTGGCACTCCTGGTGTGAGGGTGTGGCAACATGAATTTGTTTGATTTCTGCATTCGAACAAATAAAAACATTTTCCATGCTACTGGAGATTTTCTGTACATACTGTCTGCAGGTCAACTGAACTTGATCATGTATGGAAATATTATTGTATAGCAACATAAACACCTCCAACTGGCAGGAAATCTCAGTGTTCATTAATAAATAATTTAAATTAAAAATGATGATTCATAATAAGTACTTTCCTCCTCACTTTGTAACACTGATTTCATCTAACACAGAAAGTTGACAGGGACGAGATGATGTTCCTTTAAAGGTCCAGGTTAGTTACATTTTTAGGTTGAGATCTATGGAACCAAAGAAAATGGAACTATAATATTCCAAGTATGTTCGATAGTGTGTAATCACCTGAATATAGGAATTGTTGTGTTTTCTGTATGAGCCTTTTATGTCGCTGTAGATAGATAGAGTTTCACACAAACATCTATTGTACATCGGCTTAACACTCAGTGGTATCTTATTCTTGTTCTGTGATATAATAAATATTAGGGGCTGCAGTTATGTTTGTTAGATCAAATGTTTAATTTACAACTTTATAGAAGCTTGCAATTGTGAAGCTGCTGGCAATATTAAAAAGATGTAACACCCTAAAAACACAGTACAAAAGGCATTTAGTATTTAAAACTTACTTTTATTTTTCTTACAAAAATTATTTGAATCTTTGATCTGGAGCATGATTGTATTTCCTGAGTTTCTACCGCCAATACAAAACTGAACCCCTCCTAAGCAGCCATACATCCTAACTGTTGATCACACCTATTGGAATCCCCTTTTAATCAGTATTATCAGCCAATAATATTGATTATAACCTGTGTTTCATCAACTTGATCAAAGTAAGAGCAAGGTCAAATTTTCTCCACATGTTGTTTACAGGTTAGGTATGGTCTCACTCTCATTATGAAGCAGTTCCTAATTGCTCCCAAAGGGATGTTAAACACTGACCACTAATGAGCCTCTTTATCCATTTAGCTGCTTCCTGATTTCCATTGGCAATTCACAAAAACAGTAATAAAGAATTCCAAATAGTGATACACTAAAAATTACTAAAACAATGTGTCATAGTTTCCTTCTCCAATGTGTTAAACCGAGGTCTTACTCATGTACTAAACTAAACAAATAAATCATAAGATGAGTTCAAATAAGCTACTACTACTAAACGTACCTAAATATAAACTGTACTGGACTGAATGGCAAGTTTGTGCTCCTCTACATGTGTCATATTTTAAGTAGATTGAATGAATCTAAATTATTTTACTAGGCTTTGTAAATAGGTTGACTGTTTTCATCACTTTTCATCATTTAATTGAATGTAGCCAGTTGCACTGCATGTCTGTTGAAATTCAGCTTAACTCTACATGGCTCTGAATGACATTTGTGATTTGCATAGTTCATTGTTATCTCATTCATTATTTTATAGTGTGAACAATGTTCGACCAGGAAATGTACATGAGCTTCCTCCTCAGTTTGTTTATGTGATACAGCTGCAGCTGCTGCAAAGGTTATGTGTTCAGAAAAAGACATTTAACAGCCTTGGTAACTTAGCTGAATCTGAATAACAATGAAACCTGTGTTAAACATCCTGGACCTTAATGCTTGATGGCAGGTGTTTTCAGATAATGGTAATCCATCTTTATGGTGCAATTATAGGACAGATCATGTGGTAAAGGTCCAATATTACTAAAGTAAATAAACATGTGATGTGCTTACAAAGTTAGTAAGTTTTTAGGTTTTTAAGAGTATCAGGCAACACCTGAGTGACACTAAAACTGCATAAAAGTAATTTAAAGATATAAAATTCAATAATCTTTAATAGTGATAAATGCTTAAAATGTGACTGTTGACGAATTTGCTGCCAAACAAACAGTTTTGATCATGTATTCCCTTATGAAACACATATATATGCAGTAAATCCATTAATTAATTTATGTGTTGGCATTAATGATAATAAAACGAACAAACACATTTTGACTATACTTTCTTTTATTTCCGGTACACTGCAAAACATTGCTAGCAAATATTTAGTTAAATAACTCAAGAAGTTTAGAGGATAAGTCATGAATTGGTGATTCCAACTTTCAGTGTCTGACAGTCTTCACAAAATTTTCATTTTCAACTTTCTGTCTCTTTTAAAAGTTTAAAAACTTTAGAGAGGAGCAAGCAGGGTCAAGGTCTTCCTAAAAACATTTTTTTTGCCACTGTGTGTCTTCAATTGAAGGAAATTGTTTTATCAGAATCACTTTTTCACAAAGCATCCTAATTTGAAGGTATAAGCCA